TTTTTTTTTTTTTTATAAAGAAATTGGGATTTCTTGACCAAGACCACAATGTGTCAGTATGTCATAAGGGTATTGAACACAGTAAAAGTCTGTATGGAAAACATTGTTTTTTCTCATGTTTTAAACCACTATTCTTCATCTGCTCCATAACAAATCAAAAGTGGTTCTTTAATAGTTAATGCAAAGTTTCTGCTGAGATCATAGTCATGTTGTCTGGGCTTCTTTTTTTTTTTCTCTCAAAGTCCTTAAGAATCCCAAATTTTTTATGATAGGAAATAATCTTTTTAATTAGTTAAAAAAAATCTGTATTTGTATAACTATGTTAACCCTGGAAATGGAAAAAAAAGGGCTCGCCTGAGTTTCCCTCAGGCGACGACAGAAGAAAAATCTGTCGTTTGGCTTCAAGGTGTTAAAGTCAGGTAACCTATAAATGGAAAAGCAGTGAGCTTACACGGCAGAACTAAAAAAAAACAAAAAAAAACAGCCAAGTTAAATACCTGCACCCATTAGGTTAGACGGGGTGAATATAATCTGTTTGGTGTTAAACTGATTGTTGCAGTTTAAGTCTAAAATATTTTTTATATTGGTCCTTAAAAAATATGAAACACATATTTTGTTTGACCTTGATAAGTAAAGTGAAGCCTCATTCAGGGATACTTGACTTCAGGAGGAATATAATTTTTTAAATTTTTTTTTTAAGCAGTCTTAACAGCAGCCTGAGCTCTGCGGTGTTCTTTACCCCCAGGCTGACTGCAGGCGCTCCGTCTGGCTGCCATTTACAGCAGCTCAGGAGGATCCTGTCATCTCGGTCTAAGGCTGAGGCCATCATCTCTGTCGCTCTCTGAACTGTGCCGCCGTGTCACCTTGCTTCGCCTCGTCATTTCCCACAGTGGCTCTGCAGCTTTAGCCCCGACCTTCAGCTGTCTGGCCGGCCAGAGGTCAAAGATGTGGCCTGCTCACCTGTTTCCCTCTGCTGCTGCGAACATCTGTCAAACCAGATGTCGCCAGCCCCCGCCCCCCGCCGACTTATTTTCAAATATTTCTATTGCGGGGCTCCTTTTTTGTTCAAGAAGAAAGATGAGAAGGCAGACAGATTTCCACTTGATTCAAAATGCTGAAGAGTTTCTGAGAAAGACTGAAGATTGATGTTTTTCCCCCAAAGATGTTCTAAATGCACTTGAGCAGTTTAGTTTCTGTTCTGCAAAGCCACCAGAGTAAGTACAAAATGTTTGAGTCTGATGAAAAAAACAGTGGGTGTCAAAATGTTTGTTTGCGTTCAGTTATTTCTGTCTTTGAGAGCTACATGCTAAAGATGACGGCAATACAAAAGGGGCCCTGTGCGGAGTACATACACTGCCCACCTCATGGACATCTGAGGCTATTTCTTTATAGAAATATTTTATTGTTCAGTTAGATGGTAACTCAAACCCACTTTTGGACGTTCATTACCTGCAAGCTATTGTCAAAAATCCACTTTCTGAACCCAATTCCTTCAACAGCTGCAGTTTTCTGTGATCGTCACCGATTGAAATCCATCTGCATGCGATTAATTTTTGATCACTAGGGGGCAACATTAAGTCAGGTTGAGAAGTTCAGTCCATTTCTTAGAGATGCCATCAGAGCTCAAGTGTCCAGCGGCTTCAGCCTTCATTACCGTCTTCCTGCAGGAAACGGAGCGTTCGGGTTTCACGTCAGACGTTTCGGCGAGTTTAACACGGGTAAAAAGAATGAGCTGCAGAAATAAAAGTGGCGCATGAAACGAAATGTCAGTTCGACGGGCGGAGTAACGGTGAGTCAGCGGGTGTTTGGGAGTTGGTGCCTGAAGAAGCTGCTCTGCTTTTCTCCGCTGCATCAGGTTCAGGCGACGCGTAATGACGCGCGATTGAACTTAACGTGAAGTCAACTAATGGGCTTCCGATTTGTTCCCACTGTACTTATTAACGCACTACTTCTTGTTGCCCAACAATAGCTTGCAGTACATTGTTGATCATCACAGTCTGACTCACAACACTGTTAACACTGTTAATGGTCGTGTCAATGAGGAGGTGAAGTGGCTCCAAGCAGAATTTAAAACGAAGCTGGGGCCCTTTGTGAAATGTGCGGAGTTTTCCCTGCAGATCTAATTACAGAGTAGAGAATAAATACACTTTTTTTTAACCTCTGCATTCAGTTAGCTGCACCTTTCCAGATGAGGAAAGCTGCTGCTGCTGACAAATAAAGGTGTTTTTTTTTTCTTGCAGGCGCAAAGACCTGAAGTTGATTCTAAAATAACTTGCCTTAGTGCCACATGGTTATCCGATTATGAATTAGTTTATTTTTGCTTGCAATATTTTAATAAAACATACTTGACATTTTTGTGGGAAAAGGTTCTGTATATTAGTCCAATATACTTCAAAATAATGGGGGAAGCCTAATTTCCATTTTGTCATTTGCAGGGATTTGGAGGTAGTTCAAGAAGCATTCTGCATACACTCACATACTATTTACCTTTTTAAATTTTATTAGTCATTAAAATTTTTGCTTAAAAAAATTATCTACTTCCATCAACTGCTTGGGTTGGGAAGCCAAAATTGTACCATCCTCAAAATACAAAAGTAGCCCAGTTGCCACATGAGGGCAAGAAGACACACCAGCAGCTGCTGATATCTCTGCTTAGCGTTTTGGCTTCCACCACTTTGAGGGTATGCTTCCCATTCCTAAGAGAACTGTTAATAAAATCTAAAGAGTTTTAAAAACTCACTCAAAAAAAAACACACACACACACACACACACGCACACACACACAATATATAATTTGGTTTGTGACATTTATATATATATATATATATATATATATAATTTGGTTTGTGACATTTTATATATATATATATATATATATATATATATATATATATATATATATATATATATATATATATAATATATATATATATATATAAATAATATATATTATATATAAAATCAAAATGACCTCTAAATATTTGTGAAGTATTTAAACAGATACATAATCTTTGGTTTGTGACAAGCCCCACACAGTATCAGGAGACACTGTCACACCATGATGCCTATTCACCATGTTTAGACAATTCCTCAACTCAATTTGGGGAATTGTCTAATATAGGCCAAAAACTTGCTTTGATCCAAATCCACAAATTGCTGCAACATTTCAATTTACCCTTAAAATGATTCTTCTATGCAAACCACAACCTCTCCAGCCCATGTTTTTCTTTTTTCTTAATATGACTTCTTGGATGTGTTGTGCTGATATTTTGGCATCACATTGGTAACTTTTAATGATTAGAGTACATAAAGGTGACTGTAGAGGTTCTTTGATCACTATGGATTGATTATTATTGGTTATTTTCCTATTTAATCCATTTCAATGGTAAAATTTTATTTTCTACAACATATTTCAGATTTTAGTTTACAGTTAATGCACCTTATGCTATAGATTATTTTTTAGCTTAACCCCATACAGTCAACTTACAATTCTGATGAATATCACTGAAAAAAAGCCAGCTTTAAAATAGTTACACAAAATCAGCAACTTGCGTGTGTGTCAGGTGTTTGGTCTGTTGATTTTCTGTTCCTCTAAAAAAAAAACGTACTTTAAATTTAATTACCATATAGAGATATAATTTATACCAGAGGCGATGATTGAAATGCTGCTATTTGGACACAACCGTTAAAAAAAGAAGAAAGATATTTATATATTTATAAATCAACCACACACATTTAAACGCCCTAGCAAGACACCAAAGTCTCTTAGAAAAAAAAAAAAGGTTGAAGTTGTCAGACGAGTGGATATGCTGACACTTCGAAAAACCAAGAAATTCCCTATTTGGAGCTGAAGAGAGCAGTTTCTCGAAGGCGTTCTGGCAGCGCGGATCACGGCAGCTGCATACATGTCACAGACAGAATGCTGGCACCCTGATAAAGCCTGACGCTCCGAGTGAAGGAAACACATTTGCAACAGTGGCGTACGGCAATAAAGAAGTGATGAACCATCTGCTCTCTTGTGTGGCGTTTGGCGCAGCCAGGGAAGAATTTACCCTTAAAGTTTTAAAAGCTGGCAGTAAAAACAAACACAGTCACATTTAGGCAACGGCCAAAATCTTTTTAATCCAGCATGAATGAAACCCGTCTCCACAACTTTAAACAACCATTATTAGTTAAATAAAAAAAGAGCTATAAAACACACATAGAAAAAGCAATACAAGATATCTCCTTCTTCCAGTTACTGCAATTATTCCAGCCTTTAGATCCAAAGGCTTTGATTCAGCCTGTGTAGAGCCAAGTCTACACAAATGGGAAATAAAGCATGTGGATGCCTGTTTAATGTATGGAGCTGACAATAGAAAGGGAGGGAACTTCACCTTGATGAAAATGTTCTGGCAGAGCAGCCCCCCCCAAAATCAATATACCACACGCTCTGTGGGGAAAATGAGAAGAAAATGATCATATTTCTTTCCAGCAGCAACCGATCGGGACGGAGCGGCGAAAGGTCGGCCAAGCAGCTTTAGGCTAACTGATTTCATAAAGTTATTAAAGAGAGAAGAAAATAAACAAAAAACAAACTGTATATCTACGAGTCAGTAAGTTTTTCTGAGTGATGCATCAGATCTGTGTTCCTACTGTGGCTCGACCGAGAATGGAACATCCTCCACATTTTTCTGCTCAAACAGCCAGAGGGATATTTTATCACGGCGTCCCACTGTGCCCAAGAAATCTTCAAAATTAAAGTTTTGCAACTATTAATGAACAGCAAGCAAACCTCCTAACTCCCCGCTCTGCAATCTGCCAGGAAATAAACATATATGCGAAACAGAAATTTATCAAAGCTCGGCTTGGAATTTGTGATTCATCAGATGTGTGCTTGATAAAGTAATGAGCTCCGTGGTTTAAAAGGTTTCATCTATATATATATATATATATATATATATATATATTATATATATATATATATATATATATATATATATATATAACAAATGGTTAGAATGATTACAACATTTGCATAACACCTCATACAATGCATTGCAAAAGTATTCATACCCCTTAAACTTTCCCCTCTTTTGTCTCACACTTTGATATATTTTTAATGGGATTTTAAATGATAGACCAACTGAGAACTATGGACAACTATGAAATAGGGGAGAAATCATAGATGTTTTTAAGTTTTTTTCTCACAAATAAAATTTTAAGCATGCAGTGTGGTGCCCATTAGTATGTCAGCCACCTTTTATAGTGCAAATCATGTGCTTTAAAAGTTACATTATTAGTAAATCTGTTGACAGGGCAATTACTAATTATGCCCTTAAAAAAATCTAAGGGCATTCATCTGTTAGGAAAATCCGGTGAGATTTTCCTAACAGAGGAAATCTGATGAGAAAAATGTTCTAGAGGGAAAGCCATTAAAAGCCCAATATCAAGGTTGCAAAACGGTGTGTAGAGGGAAGACAAAAAACATGTACTCCTAAACATGTACTCCTAAACTACTTTGTGAAAACACAAAGGTCAGATGAAGCAACAATGTAAGTTTCTGGCCTACAAGAAAAATACTACGTGTGATGTGATTAAAAAAAAAGCAAAAAAACTCTGACCTTCTGTGACAGCATTGCGGTGGTGTTATCATGCTGATCAGATCTTTTACATCATAAAAGGACAGGAAAGCTGATCAGTGTTGATGTGAAGACAAAATGGAGCCAAATAAAGATTGATCTTTATGACGCACCCCATAAAACTGGGCTGTAATTCCAGCTGACTTTGGTTTCACCAAGTAGTCTGGGAGCTATAGGTGTACTTCAGACCTTTCAGGTATTTTATTTGTAAAATATAAATATATACACTCTTCATGTCACACATATATGCCACCTTGTGGTCTATCATGTAAACATCCCAGTGAAATACACTGAAGTCGGTGCTTTTACCAGACACCAACTTCATGGACTTTTTAAAAACTTTTGTAACACACTGTATTGGTGACAGAATTAAGGACATAATGGATATAACAGATTACATAAGTGATCAATGAAATCAGTTAAATTACTGAAAGGTAAATAAATAGGTAATGCATTAGGATGTAGTGCTGATGGGACAGTAAGGCCTGTGTTTCTATCACCTCCTCACAGTCAGATCTCACACCCTCCACGCCATGGTGTGAGAACCCGCGGCGACTGAAGCTGATCCAGCTACATCAAGCTCTGAGTCTTGATGAAAGCTGTCCTCTCGCTCTGACCGTCCACTTCCTCGCTGTCTGATTCAGACTCACAGGCGACGGTGTCCTCGTCCGCCCACACAGTGGGGATCCCCTTGTAGCATATCCGAGCCTTCCTCTCCCGCCCCCGCTGGAAGCCCAAGCCAAGGCCCAGCCGTGTCCTCCTGGTGTCTGAAAACACAGAGGGCAGTTTAGTCCTCCAGGTCAAAGCGGTGTCTCCTGAGCGCACCTGAAGCAAGAAGAAGACCCCGACGAAGGCAGCCAGGATCAAGGCACAGCTGAGAACCGCCACGACGACAGGAAGCTGAGAGGGCGGAGCAGCACCGATTCCTGGCAGTTCTTCAGCCGGTCCACCGTTCATGTCTGCTCCTGCTGCCGCCACCGCTGCTGCTGGTGTCTTCACCTCCAGCTCATCTTCTTCACCTAACCCTCCTCCGGTTAGGGGGGATTTCCTCTGGACCTGATTCTGGTGCAGGCAGGAGGTGAAAACTAGGTGGCTGTGAGTTGGACAGGAAAGGCAGTCTGTAGGTCCAGTGCCTGAGCAGGTGAGGCAGGATGGGTGGCAAGACAGGCAGGCCTGAACAGAGGACAAGTCCACCCAGTTCTCCAGAGAGAGGTTGAGCAGTTGTGGGCCTGACGTGAAGCCTGGGGGGCAAAACTTCACACAGCCCTGGAGGAAGAGGGAGAAGCCTGGGCTGCACTCTGGAAGAGGATAAAAAAAGATCAGGGAGTAAAAAAAAACAACTAAAAGAACAACTCAGAGAAAAATACACTACAACATATTTTAACAGGTAATGTGAACATTAACCTAGAAAGTTATCTCAAAGGACCAGAGATTCTGTCAAAACAAACTCTGCTGCAGTCGTCGGCCCAGCATCTCCAAATATGATCTTGCCAAGATGTTTTTCTCTAGAAGCTATTCCACACATGCAGCCATCTGATTGGTTAATCATCTCCCACCAAACACACCAACCCAGAAATAACCTGGACACCAATAACCTGGAGGCTTTCTCCTGATCTCAAAGGAATTGAGTCAATTCCCTCAGATTGGCTGCATGAAATGTTTCTTTGCCCTCTTTTTAAAAAAAAAATTGTATGCAGTTTTGTGTAAAACTGCTGAAAGATTAAATGTTTCCCCTCACAGTGGGGAGGCATGCTCAGCTTAACACTGCGTTCTTCATTGCATCAGTCTCCAGTTCCAGTGTGACCCAAAGTTTGGACCATCCAGGCAAACTGTCTCCCGGTGCTGGAAGGAAGAACGACACCTCCCATCTTTGGAGCAGAACCAGGCAGTAGTGCACCTCTTGCAGTTTTATTCTGACCTTCTGCTCCCAGTATGCAAAGGACTGCAGTTTGTGCCAAGACACCTCCATTGGCCAAAAGGAGAGACTGCCACCTGGACTGCAGGCCCACGGAGACCCGGGCTGCTTCAGCGTTAGCCGACAAGCAAGTTGGGTCTGAAGTAAGGCACTTTCCAAGGCGATCCTGGGATTTTGATCCTATCACGCTTCCATCTTTCCCCCGTAGATCAACATTAAATATTAAGAGTTCAGAGTTATCTAATGGTAAGACTCCGAATCCGTATTTATTTTTTTCCTGTTAAATATTGATTCTTTAATCTGTAGTGTGTGGGCCAGAAGCACTCTTTTTATGTAGCTTGTTTGTTATTTGATGCTTTCTCTGTTGTTATGTGTTTCTTAATTAACAGAGAGTAGACGCTGGTTGATCATTTAAAAGTAAAAGATTCGTGATTTTGTTGGTTATGAGCTCCTGTCAGATTTCATGTTGAATTGAAATTAACCATGAATCCTGAGAAATACACAGAAAGTTCAAAGTGATTTATTTTAGTGTGATGCCCAGAGCTGACTGGAAATTAAATGTTTTCAGCTTTCAGGTTGATTCTGTGAATTTATGAGACTTTTTGACATATGAACATTAATCAAAATGCCTTTTTCTACTAGAAAATAAAGAAAATCTAAAACTTTGCCTTAGCTAATCTTAATTACATTTTTTTTGCAAGTCAAAGATTGAAAAAAACTACACATAATTATTAAAAGACATAAGCTGCTACAGTCTAATATATATCTTCTTATTCTGCTGAAGGTCATTTAAAGATTTTCATTTAAAACTGAATTAATATTTTTTTCTCATCAATTCCAGTCTTTGAACCTGATCATGCAGTTTGTTCCCAGCAGCCTGTCACAAACACAACCAAATATGTTTCCATTTCTTAAGCTGAATCTGTCAAAAAAATAAATAAATAAAATAAAAATACACTGGATAGCAAAAACCTTGAACCTAAAATATTTCTGGACCAACAGTGTTGTCCAAAGAGATATTAACTGAAAACAAGGGATCTGCAATAGTGACAATATTTGATGTATTTATTGTGATAAAAAATGATCAAACCATAACAAAAAATAATTATCATCATGATGTATTTTAGGGTTTGGGTTAAGGTTAGTCTATCAGCCTATTAGAGCTTCAAGCAAATACAGCTTTAGAGATAAAATCTGGTATCAAATTGGCAAGAGTAATAACATTATGTTGTGTAAATGTGCTGCTTCACAATAATCATATTCAATATTTTCTAAATATAAACTGCATTTACAGATTTTTCAGAAGGAAAATTAATTAAACATGAACATGAACAACAATCAGTAATATTTTTAAGAAACATTGAGACACAGAAATAGTCCAGTTGATGTCTATGAGGTCGATGTGTTCTTGACAGACAGTTATGATATTTAAGAAACACCTAATGCATTAACACCACGTGTCAAGACTGTGATACTATGTTGTTTTTTGTGAAAATATATGCATATATGAGCCGCTGTGTTCATTACACAAGCTCCAGTAATCACAATGCCAAAGAGGAGACTCTTTAATACATTCTAAATGAATTTCTGAGAATGTTCCTCCTTCTTCACACTGGTTTTACCTTGAAATTCAAATATTCCCCCCCTCACCTACACAGTATGTTAGGTTGTCAATATGTCTTCAAGAGTAACTGTGCTTACTGAATATTACATCCTTTTCAAGTATCTTCATTGAAAAACACAATAAGAAGAATCATATAGTGTTCTCTGAATGATTTGGTCTGAACTAAACATCCAGAAGTAGAGTAGGTACATTTATTGACATTAACATTCTGTTAGTTAAATAAATGAATGAGAAGTTGAAGTATAATTAGATTAGAAAGATTTCAATATGTCAGTGGAATCAGCTTGTCAATCTGTTTCCAAACCTTCTCTTGTAAAGTTAATTTCTCAATTTTTAATTAAAGTCAAATTCTGTCTGAAGAAGCTGAGCCTTATTTAAACTCAATGGACAACATGATGAATGATTTAATACCCTCAAGCCTCCATCAGATGTAATCTTTTAGTGAGATTAAGAACAGAAACGTCATCCGTGCAAAACATCTGGCTTAAAAAGATGATGTTCAAATGGCTGACCAAGACGAGGATGTTTTTCTCTGCTGCAGTGATGATCATCAAGAACCTTCATCTAATGTGTTTGTTGCTCTTAGCTAATCAATTTTACTGTGATCTCATGTGTTTGATGATCATTGCTTTAATAAATTAAACTTCTGAGGTCATTAGTGGTTTTTTTTTTGGTAAAATAAAAGAATCACTGCATGAAATACAAATGAGAGAAAGCATACAATCATATTTTACACTCTGACACAATAAAATCACTGAACAGTCGATCGGTCCCTCTGGGTCAGAGGTCAGATAGTGCCTGAAGCGGAGAAGCCTGGTTTGCACTAATAGGGAAGCTGCTCTGCTCTGCTCTGGTCAGCAACAGGCTTCCTGCAAGTTCTTCATTTTCCAGACTCAATTTGATATTTTTCCTGCAGTTTCTAAAACATTCTGGACATCAGAGCACAAACCTAGCTGGGTTCAGGTCTCTGGACGTTCCACAAATCAAGAGGCAACAAGATGCTGAAGTTAAAGCTCTGATTAAACAGCGTGAAGCGATTGTTTCTCAACTTTATGTCATCCTGACTAAGATAGATTAGATCTCCTGGCTGCAGACCCTCAACTCTCCCGAGGGATGCCTGAGTCTCCCTCCTGATCCTGTTATTCTTGTGACCCAATTTGAGATAAGGTGAAATCAGTGGATGGATGCAGCAGCAGATACAATATATCAGTAACACAACCTTTGGGCTATCTTATCTTTCTCTGGGCTGCTGTTGTTATTTAAACCCTTAAATAACAAGAGTTGATTGTCCGCTATCCCTAAATGAGAACATTTATAAGAAGAATCTGGTGTAGTAGATCAGAATTTAAGTTTATTTCGCCTAAATTCCCAAAAAAAAAAAAAGTGTAAAACAAGAATAGAGAAAACTTTATTTGTCTTCATACAGTGCTGGGAGATACTATTTTATTAATAATCTCAAGACATTTACTCCTTTAGCGGTGCCTAGATATTTTGCAAATTTTCCAAAGATCTTCCCAAGTGTAATTATCTTTTTGCGCTGACAGAAAATTTCTCTTTTCTCTCTTCCTCTCATATATTTAGCTTAATTTCTGGCAGTTCTGGATTTCATGTCTGGGAAGTCATTAGGAAACTAGTGGTGGGGGGTGTGAATGAAAAGATTAGCAGTGAGAGCAGATTTAATCCGGATGATAAAGGAGAGAGAGTCTGACGGATCAAAGGAAAAAAATAAATATTTCTGACCTTGTGTGTTTCTGTTAAGATTGTCGTAAGCTCTTGCATTATTGTGGTTTTATTTTCACCTGCTGTTCCCTCTATGCCTAACACGCTTGTATGACATATGGCGACGTGCTAATTTATGGTGCACAAAGGGGGCTGTGAACGCCTCATCTGTATTCACAACATTTGCGTTACAGACGCCACGACACCCAACACATGCAGACCTGAGGCCTGTTTCATAACAGACAACAATACTGAGACAGTGCATTACCAGAGTAATGTCTTTACATCCCTTCAGCTTTTTCATGTTATGTCAGGTTAAAATCATGAACTTCGAAGTGGAAGAAAAGATTAGTGATGTTGTTTTCAGACAATTTTCTTTGTTTCTATAGGAGTTTACATATGTAAATGCTTAATTTTGTTTGCTGTTCAGTTTTGACGAACATTTACAGTATAAGTTTAAGTTCAGATCTCAGTGGAGGAAAGGTTTAGTGAATGTGAAATTTCAAGACTTGCCATATATTCTGTCTTAGATTTCACCCAGGACTTCGGTCATATTTTCAGGCCAATCCTTCCACATGTCTGCACTGCTGTCCACATTGTGGTAAACTTATAATTTCTTCTTGCCAGATTTATGAAGGGCAGGGCTCATAGTTGTCCTGTCAACATGCTTTCCCACCTGATCCATCCTTCCTGCTTACTCTTCTACTTGCCCGTCAGTTTCAGTTGCGGCTAAATCTCAAAACTGAACAACAGGTTTACCGTTTTGCAGCACTGCTTTTGTTACATTAAATGTTCAAAGCTTATATTTCTTGGCCTCCCTCATGAAGCTATTTGTTCACTAATGTTTTCAGTTGGACTTACAGTCAGCGTAAATAACATCAAGGTGGACTCTATTTACTAGTTACATGACTTCTGAAGGCAACTTATTTCTCTGATACCACTTAATAAATGATGGGATTTATTAAGTGGTATCAGAAAAAAGGGGAGAGAATACATGTGCATACTTTTCAGACTTTGAAAGCTACATACACTATTTTTCTTCTCCTTGGTAGTTATGGTCCACTTTGTATTGCTCCATCACAAAAGCCCAATAAATTATTTTCAAGTTCACTTTGTAGCGTAAAAAATGCATGGATATTTTTGAAACATGTTCTTTGATCCAGTGTAAATTCTGCGTGTCAGCGGAGGCAGAGTGTTCTCACCAATACAGATCTGCTGGGCATCGAAGGTCTTGCAGCTGTTGTTGGAAGGTCGAGGGAAGTAGGGTGACGAGGGGTTAACAACGCTGGGTCCGGTGCCCCACAGGGTGAGAGTGAACTGACTCAGTACACCTGTGGGAAGGAAACAAAGAAGTGAGGAGTTCAAAAGGAGATGGAGGTAAATATCAAGTTCGCAGCTCTCAGTGGGGGAACAGAGTGAACTGGCTGAGAAGAGGATGTGGGGGTGGAAGGAGAGGAAACAAGTGATGCGAGCGGGGCCAAACACAACTCAGGAGGAGGATCGACACCAGCAGAGGAAGAGAAAGCACTCCCATTTCATTCCTACTGCAGCTCTAAGTAAACAGAACCACAGGATAAACATAGAGATGTTAACTCTCCTCAACCGTCAGCTGGATTCTGAGCTAAAAAAAAAAAAAGCAGCCCTCAATGTTGGAAATAAAAACCTTGTTTGGAGGTTTTGATCAAAAAGATGTAAGATATTTTCTTGTAACGGCTGTCGATATTTAATCTGGAATGCGCTTCTGAGAAGCTCCCTTCTGGGCAGCAAAAAAAATGTACACACCCTGTCATTAGATGAGGAATAAAAGAGGAACTGAAAAGGCCTTTTTAATAAAGCATAAAGACATGCAGCGAGATTGGAGCTGGCAAGGGGCCAGCAGATGCTGACATTACTGTGGTTTTGAAGTAATGTATAATGAGATTAATGATAATGAGCGATTTACCATAGTCACGTCCATTAGATGCAACGTTTTCTATCTCTAGGGTCCACTCTCCCTGCGGGTCCTCGTCCCACGAGTGGGTGGTCATAAAGGCCCAGTCGTTGAACCCCTCCGAAGAATAGTCATTGGGCCTTAATAGACAACAGGAGAAAACGTATTTTCTGTTTTTCTTTATGTGTGGAAATCGCTGAATACAGCCCTGCATAAAGTGAACACACACACGCTGAGTCTGTCTAAAAGAGAAAGGTATACGTCATGAAGCAGCATCAGAAGAGCCGCGTTTAGCTGTGTACCTTGGGAACAGCAGGGTGGAACGTGTTCCCAGTGGGCTGATTAGATGAATGGCCAATTTTCCTCGCTGGTTGTGGGAAAGAGTGAGGCGAGCCTGAGCGTGCTCCAGAGATCGGACATACTCCGGTCGCCCCCAGCAGGCATCAACGCTCTTGCTGAACACCAGCTTGTTCCCGATGTCTCTGCAGGGTTGTCGAGAGGAGCGGAGAGTGGTTAATGTTGTGTGTCTGCAGAAAACGGACACAGGCAATCACACTGTGCTAAGAATCTAAACGTCTTCAACGCCCTCAGGGCAGATGCTGGGAGGGATGAGGAGCCAGTGAATGGATTTAATAAAACTAAAACCCTCTGCTGTTCATATACACATATCTTCCTCCCACAGGAAGAGGAAGATATGTAAAGAGGTAGATTTAATACACAGACAGATAAATGCAAAGATATTATTTCTGTTAATTCAGCTGATTATGAAATACAGTTGATGAAAAAACTAAATTTAGTCTAATTAAAAGTTAGAATTGAGTGGACTGGATTGATTTGGGGTTAAGGTCAAGTAGTTATTCAGTGAAACGCCATCATAACACAGCCATTAAAGCAGGTGTACTTTGTACTTTAGGTAGAGAGGGTAGGTGCCAAGTTTTGCTGAAACGTGAAATCAGCATCTCCAGAAAGCTTAACAGATTGAAACACAAAGTTATCAAATAAGTCCTAGTAGACAACTAAGTTAAACAAATCAACTATGGGTGCGTGTAGTTATTAAAGAGATAATCATAAACTGTTAGCAGGGCTTTGTGTACTACATTTTATAACTTATGAAGTAAACCAATAACTGAATAGCCTAGCCCTTACCCTACACTATTCCTAACCCTAAAGCTAACCTACACTCTATTTAACCCAAACACAGCACCTCTTTTTGTGGGACCTGGAGCAGTGGGTCCTCAGAATGTAGTATTTGTTGGAAAAATAGACCTTACTACATGAAATGCTTAAATATACACATACACACACAGTTTGAAGTCACTGTCCTAACCTTGGTTCTGTAAGCATTGTCAGAACGCATTGGTGCTGTGGTCCCACTGTCGTCCAGTTCTGTGCCAAACTCACCATAGCGCCTGCATCTAGTAAGCCATAGCCATACGAATGACTCACTGAGGAGAAAAGAGAATAGATGGACAACAGCGACGGTGAGAGAATGATATAGGCAGCAGGTTCAGAACGTCTTTTCAGAAACACAATTTTGAGCTTTAATTGAAGGGACTCTCTAAAATCCCTAAAATGCTCCGCCGACCTTTAACAGCACTATCCAGCTGCTTCTCCCTATCTGCAGTCACCGATAATGCAAGTATTTTTTGGCCCTTCTAATAAATGCAAAAGATCTTAAGGGAGACGTGAAAACATTTCCTTTTTTCGGCGCAGCCTCAATGTTGTGTGTGTCTGATTGACAGACACTGGCAGGAGAATAACAGCCAAAGTAAACAAACATCCCCTTCCTCACAAGACAGGGACAGACAGTTTCATGTGCTGGAGCAGAGCATTAAAGATACTACTGAGGGTGACATAAGAAGCTGGCTTTTGTTGCGTGAAAGCCTTTTTAGTGCCTCTTTCCACAACATTTTCCTACTGGTAAACATGGTGTGTACGTCCCTGAACATTTTGAAAGAAGCAGAGTTGATGGTGAAAGCCACAGTGGTCATGGAAAGCACACCCTCTTTTAACTTTGAAGGTGAGCTATTGTGCTTCCTTGAACAGGTCAGGGTCGTCCTCTGGGCTGTATGAAACATGTTCATGATATTCTTTGGGCTTTGATGGGGTTGCTAAGTGAGGAGCAGCGGCTGCTGATTTGTGACCTTACGTTCCAAAGGTTTTTGAAATAGATCATTTTCCAGACACCAAAAAACTTTTAATTTATTGCTAAAAACAGCTGGATGTTTTTTTTTTTTTTGTAAGTACTTGGGCAACTTTTTGAAGCAGTGGAAACCAAAAATGCAAAAATGTGCAGAATGTGAAATACATTTTCACATTTTGCTCCTCTTTTATATGCTCCAGACATAAAGAGGATCTGGTCTGGTTTGGTACAACTTTGCTTCCCTTACAGGAATTAAGAGGAAAAGTAGCGGCCAGGCGTTGTTAATTAAAACACTTGATTATTGACCACCAGTAGATGTGATCTTATCTATAAAAGCAGGATAATTAGCATTTTGCTGGTCTGGTGGGTGAGGGCAAATACAATCTCAAGGCAGAAAGACGTCAGCAGTATGCAAAAAGAATTGCTGCTCCTGAATGATTCTTGTTGCAAAGGCGTTTGGACACTTGAGATCAAAGTTGGGACATAATCTGCACCAAATAGAGCACATCAGCACAAACGCTTCAGAAGGTTTGTATCAGAGGGGGCTGATCTAAACTGGTTTTGCCCAAAAATGGTGACCTCAGTCCTGTTGGTGAAGGATGTTAAAAGCTCTCCATAAAAATCAGCTACTGATACAATCAGCTAGTGATACAAGTGATACTATATTTTGTTATGTCAGCCTAAATAAAAAGAAGTGTAACAAAACTATCTTCAAAAGTAAGCTAATTAGTAAACAGTTAACCTGTGTCCACCTTTAAAGTTTACGGCCTTATTCAATGTACTACAATGTGTTCTGATGAGGATCGTTTGACAGATTAAAGTTATTTTTGAAAATATTTTTGCTTTTCTTCAAGTTCACATTTCTGTGTTTAATTTTTTATTGGTCTGATGTAATGTTGTAATCTTAAGTGTTATGTTTTCATTAGCTCTCAGTGGGAAAACAAACTAACAGAAAAACAAGCGTTAAAACGTCAGTTTATGAACATTAATGAACAAACAGCAACATGAAGACAGGTCACGATGGTCAGGGATAAAAGAGCTACAATGGAATAAATAACTAGATTAAAACATATCGTGTTGAAATTACCCACTGAAAGTCCAGACCTAAATTTAATTCAGAAACTTTGGCAACACTTTTCTTTGTCGAAACATATTATATTATTAAAGTACATTCTCGTGATTAAAAAAAATCAAAAACAAACTGAAGAAGGATAAATACATTTTAAGAGCATTCTAAAACTTTTGACTTTATAGAGGGAATGTTTATTTGCTACAGGAAGCAGCCATACACTTTATAAATTTGTTTTATAGGCACCTTGTGTTTCCCAGGGACACTGCAGCAAGTGAGGAGTTGCAGATTGAAATAAAAAAGCAGTGATTTTTAGAACCCTGGCTCTACCTCCGGAGCCACAGCTGCCAGTAGTTTGTGAAATACTGGAAAAAAAAACCTCAAACATCTGCAATTTAATCTCAGATGGGCTATAATGACTGTAATGCTTTGGCTCTGCAGAGAGAGATTGTTATTGCCAAAAAAGTAATAACATTTTTGGGAGACTTAATAGATTTTTCTTTGTACAAAAATTACATATACACATGCAGCAGAGAAGGATAAACATAACCCCCGATTATAAGATATCTTCTGTGCTTTATTTAGATGACGTAAAATAATCAGTATGTACCGATGCGTCCCACTCCATTGGTCTTCCAGTCTCCGGCGATAAGGTGCCCAGGTAATGACGTCCTCACCACCAGGTGCTGCATGTCCCTCCAGGTCAGGTTCATGCTGAAACACCAAAAGAAAGAGAGCAATTTAACTGCATCGACTTTCTGTCATGTAACAGATGAAGGTAATAATTTCGACATTATGCACGTCATGAGTAAAGTCAGGTTTTGCTGACCTCAACAGCACAATAATGTAGTAGAGGAAATGTGAGGAGCTGAGGGACATGGAAAAGGTCAGGGGACTGGAGACACGACGGAAATGTAATCAATCCCAGCATGTGCAGCGAGGAGAAATGGACACCTCTGAAAATAACACTCTGAAACACGAAGGAGACTGGGAGGTTTATTCCAAAGCATCATAACTAAGCAGCTACAGTTTTTCAAAACTAACCAGACATTCTTTGAACTTTTTCACATTTTACCATTCAATAACCACATATTTCATTGTATTTTACAGTGATTTTCTGACATGCCAACAACAAGTAGAGCATAATTGTGAAGTGGAAAAAACATTGGTTTTGTTCTTGTATGCTTTTATTTTTACTTACGGATTATAGCACTACCTTGAGTTGGCCTGTCACATACAATCCCATTAAATTACATTAAGAGTGTGAGGTTGTAACATAAAAATGTGAACGGGTTCGAGGGGTAATGATATCAAGGCACTCTAACTGATACCATAAAATATCAGCGTTAAAACAGTACTGTGTAACTTATTATGCTGAGAGGTTAAAGAGCACGATAAACAGTAGCTATAAAACCAAGGAGAACAGCATTCATCCTTTCTCCAGAAGCAAGTTTCAAATGAGGTTTGGGACTCAGGGCCAAGGTCACCTTCTACACAGGACTGGCTTTCATAAAAGCAAGACCTTTTTCTCTCCTTTAGATATAATGAAGAGACATTGATTAGAGCAGCCTCAGAAGAACCAATGAAGACAAACTCTCCAACAGGTTTGAATGACAAAACGATGAATCACAGTGCTTACTGAGCTCAGCACCACAGTTGACTGAAATAGAAGCAGAACTTCGCCGAGGCGCATCTCCTCCTCCCTCCATGCACATCAGCATCCTTCCCTCACATCCTCTCATGAGTTATTAAAGTACAAGATCCCCCTAGATCCACTCAATGTGACATCAACCAAGAGCAGGGAGAGGGATGATAATAAAATTATAAAACAATAGAAAGCCAAAAAACGTTCCGCCTATTAAACGATTCCATTTGCACCAGTTTCAGTGTGGGCCTGGTCTGATAAAGCAGCTATGCTGTTATTACTGCAGCCTGTCAGGAAAGGGGTGCCTGCTGGGATGCACCAAGCACTGCCTGATAACTGATAGTCAACGCGGTGAAAACCCGAGTTCTGTCAGTTACTGGCCATTTCTCATGATATATCACAGCTGACAGCGCCGAGATAAGCCAGGGAGGCTGAGGAGGCTTACCTGTGCTGTAACGCTGCGCCGGATTGGATTCGACACCTGTCATCACTAACGCAGACATGAGGGGAATTATGCAAAGTGGAGAGCAGCTGAGTGATAAGACAGACTCAAGACATGCAAGATACAAGTGCAGATAATGCGGATGAGGGCGTACACGTTAGATGGCTCAGAAAGCTCGGGACACCTGCAGTCCTGCGTGAGCAATAATGAGAAAGATTCTCAGGGATATGAGTCTTCATGAGCAGCCCTACAGGTATTTGAAAGTCAGTGTGGGCTGCAGCTGCTAATTTATCTCACTAATTAAGTGATTATCAAAAGCTTAATTTGCTGTGGAAAGAATTTCTGCTGGGAGTCAGTCCAGCATTGATTCCCGGAGGTGTCTGTGAAGTCGCAGCTGTGAGCACACACCTCCCATGGAGACAGGGTGGAAAATGGTGGTAAAGATAAAACCAACAATATTCCTACACTTTAAAAGTCGAGCGTGCTCAAAGATGATTCACGAAAATGCTATATGTCCCCGATGACTGTATGTAGACATCTGACAGGTACTGTATGGTAAATAATATTAATAAAAAAAAACAGATGGGAGCAGGTCAGTGGCGCTGCTGTAAAAGTCATCTGTCATTCCAACTCACTTTGCCTCCAGAGCCAGAGCGATGATCCCAGCAGCTAGTGGAGCCGAGGCAGACGTCCCCGTGTGAGAGTCAGTGCATTTCTGCCTCAGGTCTGTGGTCACCTTAGAGAGAATAAGAACAGAGGGAAGTGCACATAAATACAAAAAGAGAGAGACAGAGCTAATGTGACACTTCACCATGAATTCACAGCGAGGAAAGCTGAGTGTTAGACAGGGAGGGACAGAGATAATATGAGTTTTCCCTGCAGCTATCTAAGATGGAAGAAGAATGAGAGGGAGGAGGAGAGAATGAGTCGGTAGGTTCAGTCTCAGGTTTATGGACGCCTGCCAAGGGGTCACAGGCGGGACAGCGAATGTCAGCCAAGTCGGCCCCAGCCAAATCTGTTGCTGGTGAGACGAAGGGTCTTAGTGCTCCATGCACGCTTCTGATCTTCCTGTCTGTCAGTACCAGGAAGCTAATGATGCCTGTCTGGATCACAATGAGGACACACTGGTAATGACAAAGAGGCTGGAAGCAAAGACCAGCAGCGAAGGTTAAAGATGGAGGATCTGCTTGCAACTTTTGGCCTGACAGCTTGTGGCACTAATGACCATTATCAGCTGAAGACGTCTCTGTGTCAGAGGCGTAAACAAAACCGGTCAGGCGTCCGAACAGGACAACTGTTCCACTTGGAGCTGGACCAAACAGCCATTTCATAGATATCTGATAACTGCAAAATGTTTTCTCATTAAATGTATTAATTTAGTACAAGGTGAAGCATTTTTTTATAAGACTTGGCAGAGGTTTTATTTTATTATTATTTATTTTATGATAATAGAAAGTGGTCAGAAGGGACATAGGAAATAAATAAAACTTATTTTTGTGCAATAAAAAACTATCAATAATGCAGCTATAAATGCTGACATGACAAACATAAAATGAGGAAACAAAAACTATTACAGATCCGAATCAGAAAAGTCCTGTGGCCAAACATTTTAGGGATATGCAGTCTGCAGTCAAGTTTTTCTTGGCCTGTATTTATCAATTCTGTTCAGCTTCAGCGACTGTTCTAGACATAAAAAGATTCCCACAGAATGATGCTGCCACTACCATGTCTCATGTTTGCGGGATTGTGTGTTCAGAGTGACAGACCTAGTTTTCTGCAACACAAGTTGCAAGTGTTCTGTCCGTAGGCAAAACAAACAAGCAAACAAAAATCTGCTGTCGTTTCTTCTGGCCAGAGCATCTTTTTCTATACTGAAAACTCCATGAATTTCACATATGAAAATGATGGGTGAAAAACATGTACCACATAAAAAATGCATGTGGTGCACACAAGTTTTCACTTGTAATTTGGATGATAAACTAAAGAGTCTTTAAAGCATGGGAAATTGTTTTATAACCTAGCGAAGCATTAAGCTAATCCACAACTTCATCCCTACACTGCTATGTGTATTCTTGGTTTTATTATGCTGTTTGCTCACTAATGATCTCAACCAAAGCTCTAAGTCCTTCATACCACATCTGTTTTTATGTTGAGACTAAATTACTCATCTCCAAGAGGCCTTTGGATTTTGTTTACTGATATTTGTGTACAGTAAAGGATAAACAGAATTCTCAGATTCTTTTATGAAAAAATGTTTTGGAAACCACACGTATTGCCCTTCCACTTCACACCATGCTTTACTTGGTGGTGGTCGATAATGTGCCATATTCATATGATACTGGCATTTACAACTGATTTTGATGCAAGACTACAGTAAAGTTGAGCAGAGCGAGAGATTTCTTGTGACCGGTTTATCTATGTAGTGTCTGTACAGCTGCAACAGCCTCAGTTTCAGGGTGTGTATTTTGACTAAATATTTTCAGCCTCCACACGCACACTTGGCCATAAAAGCTCTGCGATTTTGACTAATTTAATTACGCAAACAAACGCCAGGGGACTTCCTTAAAATAACATTATTACGATGATTATGATTAAGCTTTTTTTTAACACAATGTCTTTAAGATTTTTTTTAAACATCTATGTGGTAATTTGTTGCCGTGGTTGTGCAATAATCATCACACCTAATAGCAAAAGTGTTTCTCTTTGTTCAGTTTTTCACCAAGCATGTGTCAGTGCCCTCTATGTTGTTCATCTTTCAACCCCGATCCAAAGGCATGAATGTTAGGCTAATTGGACAACCTTAAACTGCCTTACAGTGTGAAAGAGTGAGCATGGTTCTGTCATTGTGTCTTTGTGAGCGAGGAAACCATCAGTGATTTTCTGACTTACTAGAAGAAGGCGAAATTTAAAAATTGTTTCCTTTTCTTATGAAATAACAGGTCACTAAATCCCAATCCCAAATGATCCGAAGGTCATGCTGGATTGCTGTGAAAGCCCCAGTGCAACTGTGGCAATCACACCTATGTGTCACAGAGATCATAAATACCAGTGTTAGACAAAGAGACGTGGCATGAAATAACTTTCAGAACAAACACCAGCAGCCTCACAGTTGGAGAATCAAGTCAGTGCTGCTTCACCTCTTAAAAACAAGTTTAATTTCACATATTTTGGTGAAGTGCATTTGTTTGCCTGTAGCAGCCCTTTGGTGTATTTTGGATTTAAAAAAAGGACGATTCCTAGCTGTTTCATGTTATACTGATCCCTGGAGGCAAGCCTTTCATCAGCTGAAAAGCAGCTTGAAAGAAGCATGTGACATTTCCAGGGTTTGTCCGCTCTCCTTGTTGGATGTTGCGCATCAGACGCTCTGATTTCTGAGAGCTTGATCCTTATTTACAACATGACAGACAGAGGCTTAATGCGAAAATACGCTTCAAAAAATGTCAATTTATGATACGTCTGCGTCGGTGTTTTAGATTGGCAACACAACAGCAAACGCATAGATGGTTTTAAGGAGCAGAGGTGTGCTTGCACTCACTATCTGTTTCTCTCCTGGATTCCCAGAGCTAAAGGTTGTAGCCAGGGTGGAGGAGCAGGGTTCACTGTACCACGGCACATTGCCCGACTCTGTGGTGCTGCTGATGGACAGCGTGTAAATGCTGTTGGTGTAGCCGTCACAGTTGCAGCTGTCCTGTTCGCGGCCACCGTTGCCTGAAGCCCAGACGAAGATGGAGCCCAGTCCACTGCGTCCCTGCGGTAGAAAAACATAAAAGAAAACGTTGATATAGTTGAAACCCAACCAACAGAAAGAAACTAACAAGGGCTCGCTGAGGTGTGGAAAGCTGCCTTTGACAAAGACGTTTGTCTGACTGCCTAAACAGCATGCCATATCTGAACTTTCTCTAGAAACTCTAAAACGCTGGAGGTGCAGATCCATGTCAAAAATTTCAGATCGCAAACATGGCGATTGTAATTGTGACACGCGCTCAAGCTGATTGAGATTGCGAATACATGACAGCATCATGTTAATTGAAGCACTGTTCAGTTTAAGATACACATACAGTAAAGGCCAAATTCCTCTGGCAGATTTCAAAATAATCAGTGAAAATGATTAAAATTACATAAATCAAACAATTGTTACATGTATTTGTTAATCAGCTTTTTGCATGTTTCAATGGCATTCTGATAATTTGGACAATTTCTTTGTTGATGAGCTCAAATTATTTGAGGTTGGAAGACCTGCTTATCATCACCCTAATGTTTAACTCTCTCCACAGATTCTCCATCAGATTCAAGTTTGGATTCTGGCTAGGATGCTTTGAAATGTCATGAAGAAATATGTTAGCAAAATTTAGCGATTACGTAAAATCAAAATTTGCCAGTGGAATGAATATTTTTGTGCTTCTTTATATCTGTGTGTATTTCATTTCACATACATATAGTTTTCATCAGCAGTCAAGGAGATGGTAATGCTGTATCAAATAGAAATTTGATTTTCAAGCGTCTTTTGAAAAAAGACTGTTTTTTATCTTTTAATCAGTACCACGATTAAATGGGTTTATTTGTTCCAAGACATACACCACTTTGTTCACGTACTTGTCTCCAGCGGATTAATTTAAGCTCTGTGACAGGGTTGATTTGCTTCTTATGAAACACAAATGACACTGAACTGCATACATTTCTGTGTCTCTATTTAATACATTTTGTCTCCAGTTGGTTTTCTTGCTTATCTCGAAGCCAGAAGCCTGCCTGCTGACCTCTTTGACTGCTGACCTCTTTCACTGCTGACTTTCTGCACCTCAAAATATTGCTGATTGTTACTGTAGACCAGTTGTTGCCAGTGTCCCTGAGGCCTGAATGGAGACGAAAACATTGAGTGTCAGGGCACCAGGTGTCAGGGCTCGGAAACAGCCTTAGGGGTGGAGACTGACCTCTGTATCTCTTTGCTGAAGTTAATGCTTATTTTCCAGAAAATTCTGATTAGTGCAACAATATTTGCTGTCGGATTTGATTCTAAATCTATATCCGACTACATAGTACATACTTGTGTGGCTACAAAATACCTTTTCTTTTTTTATTAGTTTCATCCTTTTCTAAAAAAAATAATTCAATAATGCAACTATACTGAATAGCTTATTGTGTGAAAACAGGAATGCAGGTAAACAAATATTTACAAGAATGACCTGTAACAAAAAACAAAACAACATCTTCTTTTTCTAACAGTTCAGATAAATAACAATAATAAATATAAATATTCATGGAACCTTTTCACATTTTGTTACATTGCAAACACAAACTCTAATGAACTGAGTTGACAGATAAAATAGCATATGAATAGGAAATGGGTTGTTTACTTTTAGCAAATAAAAATATGAAAAATTAGCTTTGCATGTGTTTTCAGCCACCTATGTTCTAGTACATTTAAATAAAATCCAGCACATCTTAACTACTGAACAATAATTGAGGGCGGTAGCCAAGAATCCCATCCTAACTCAAGAGCAGATGCACAGATCCACAACTCAGGTGGAAAAATCTGTTGACAGGACAACCAGCAGCCATGAAGGCAGATAAATAACATGGCCTTCCTGGAAGACTTCCAAGACACGTACTGTTGTTGAAAAAGAAAGCCAGAGCCACAACTGGTTTGATGAAACCGATCTGTTAGAACGGCCAAAGCAAAGTCAGGACCTAAGTTTATCTGAGAGACTGAGGCAAGGCTCAAAGGCTCATGTGCAAAGCTGGTTGAAACAAACTATTAAAGACTTTCAGGTGTAATGGCAGTGAAAGTAGTACAATAGGATTTCTGAATATGAGATGCCCTTCAGAATTTTATTGTCAAAATATGTGAAAACGTCTACCTACATAGAATTATATGGAGGTTTCTATTTGCCTATGAAATGATATCTCATTAAAAACTGACTGTACAAACTGAGGTTTGTGGTTTTAACGTAACGAAATGCAAAAAGTTCAAGGAATGTGAATGCGTATGCAAGGCAGAGTAGTACTATCTCCAGATTGTTGATCAAAATCAACAATCAAAAGAATAAGAAAAAAAAGGATTCACACTAAACAGGGAGTTGGTGTGCTTGTCTAGTTACCAAAGATTTACTTCCTTATCAGCGCTGCTATGATGCTGTTTTCTCTGGCACATTTAATCAGTGAAATGTTAAGCTCATAAGTCTACAAAGGGACCTTAATTGGACCCAAAGACAGATTTTAAATGAGCTGGTACAAGCTTTTTTTTATTTTTTATAAGGATTATCCATTTAATTTTCTTAATTGATTCCTACGCCCCCGTCTCACAAATGATCTCTCTTTAGAAGATGGGATAAATGAGCTTTTGCTGAGTGTTGGATGCAGCTTCCATTGAACGGGATGGTCAATCCGGACTGTACATAACACTCCTAAACGGTCCAGCTCAATTTATGACCCGGCGCCGCCTTTTGCTGCGGTTTACAGATACCCAGACGAGAACACTTTAGCGCCAGCCGTTATCTCGCTGCCAGGAGAACACACACTGAACCAGAGGGCTCCTGTTGTTTTCCTGTCAGGTAATTTATCTCCACTAACACGGCATAATATGTGGAGCTGCACACATTTGGGAATGTGAACTATGAGTCATACGTTGCCACGGAAAATTTGCAGTTTCTTTCATTTGCATGACAATTATCACTGCCTTTCAATCTCACTCCTTCATCAGCTTTGTTTCTGTTTTCTCTCATCTCATCTTTCTCATTTGGCTGATCTGCTTATGGTCTTTGATGATGTAAGCTTGACACATGAGGAATGATGACATTAGACTTGGGTAATAGGCTCAAACTCTTTCATATCTAATTCTGCTGACTATGGAGTCAATGACAAATCAACAAATTCACCTTGAGTTTGTCCTCTTCTCATGGAAAGTAGTGTGATTAAAGTGAGAAAATTCTGCTTGTCTTCTCTGATATTTTTAATGTAAAATAAAAATGATTGTAATATTTCTGAAAATAAAACTTTATGACAACTCTCGTTCCATGGAGAGAGTTTCTATGTTTCTGGATTTGATTTGCCTTTCAATGGTATTCATTTCCTCTTAACTTTTCCTCAATTTGTAATGTGTGACATACCAATACACCAATGAAATATTTTGAAGACAAAGGGAAATTACACACAAGTTTTGTAACAATTTTTGCAAGTCTAAAAAGTGTGGCATGCGCTATTCCTCTAGTAAAACATGGCGGACGTGAAGGCACCACAAGGTAACTGTTCTGAGTCAATTGAAAGATTCATGGAACTAAATGGAGGGCAATAGTTTAGACAGGGGCGGGGTTCCACTTCCAGCAGGACAGCAATGTTACAAATACAGCGAGAGCCGTAACGGACTGGGTTAAATCAAAGCATATCAGGTGATAGGATGGCCTAGTCAAATTCCAAACCTGAATCCTACAGAAATGGCACTAACATAACAAACCAAATGACCTTAAACACATTAGACCTACATCGACTTTTCTTTGGCAGAAAACCAAAGTTGCAAAGAAGAATGGACAGAAAAGTTAGTCTCAAGATGTCCACAGATAGTAGACAAACCCCAAAAGATTGGAACCTGGAATTGCAACCAAATTGCAACTTTGATGAATACAAAGGGTTCCCACACCTTTCAGATTTTTATTTGTAAAAATCCCAACTCCATTTTCTTCCCCTGCTTTATCTGCTATTTTGTGTGTGTCCATCATAATCATTATTATTTTTTTTTATCACAATACAATACAATGCGGCTGCAATGTGTAAAAATGTGAAAAATTCAAGGTGATTAAAACCTTTGCAAGGCTCTACATGTCTGCAAGATGAAGCTGCTATTTTTGGTGTCATGGTGAGCAGTGCTTTAAATAGTGTTAGTTTTCGTCTACTTAAAGAATTCAGATCATATTTGATGCTTATAACAACTATTTATGCAAACAAATACTGAACAACCTCCAAGCAGTCACCTCAATAATTAATATTTGCACAGAGCAAATTCAGAAGGAAACAGCTCGAACTACAGAATAACATTTGAGTTTTACACAAGACGGTTGCTGGTGTCAACAAATAGATTTTATTTATACGCCATGAGGTATATAAAAAAGTGACCCAACATGACTAATAGCATTTGTCTGTTTGGCCATGTTAATTATGAAATAGAGCACATGCATTTCCAAGATAAAACAGGTGGGAAAGCATGTTAAAAATGAATAAAAACAGAATGCAGTGATCTGTAAATGAATCACGTTCCTGCAATATGATGAAACATCTGTGGAGGTTTCAACTGCAGAAGCTTATTTATAATAATTAAAATTTTATGTGTGAATTCACCCTGAGCCTCCCAGAGCATGTTTACTACTGTGTTGCATCACCTCCCGTTTTAACAGCCCCTCTCTGTCTTTGGAAACTTAGCAGACCAATTGATGTATGTCACCTCCCTCTTCTGTTTGCTGCTGTCCTCGCCTCCCAACTGTGAATAATTTTGTATTTCACAATGCAAATGGAGCTGCTTGAAGGGGTATTAAGCACTAATTCTTGGATGTACTTGCCCTGGAGGATGGCTCCCTCCCTTCGGCTCGTCTTTAGTCGTGGCTGATTGGACTGCAGTTTTGGCCCGAAAGTTCAGGAGGTAAGCTAACCATCTTACCTGCTGTTCATGCATAGCCAAGCTGTCAATCAGTGGGGGCAGTGATTAATGTGAGCGGCTTGCTGACTTAATTCTAGCTTGTGCTCATAACTTCTCTTTTCTTTGTTGTGGAAGATTAAGCCTTATGATACAACTTTTCCTCATGTAAGACTTAATTACCTCATGCTTGCAATTTGTTTAAGTAGTCGAAAGAAGTGGCAGACATTATTGTTCTTGGAAGCAAAGGACCCAATTATAACAGGGTCTACACTTTCTACCCCTCGCTGTTACTTTGTTCTTCTCTATAAAGTCCAGAAGTTGAGGAGTGATAACTGCTCCTTTATGTGGATTTGGAAAGATGAATACATTTTTTTAAACCTTAAGTTATGGTTGCTTTTTAGTTGTACTGGATGAGTCAAGTACCCTTTCATGGTACCTTATTTTCTGTTGTGATGCAGCCATTTGGATACCTATTCCACAATAAGTAGACCTGTAACGGATTTTTTCCAGTATAAAGTTTCATATTTTTACAGACACAAATTTCTTACAAACAGACACACACACACACACACACACACACACACACACACACACACACACACACACACACACACACACACACACACACACACACACACACACACACACACACACACACACACACACACACACACACACACACACACACAAACATATATATACCTATATCTATAATAGATCCCTAAAATTAATATTTACTAATATAAAAAACAAGTTTTACATGCATACAGCAGGTTGGTTGGTCCCTGAAGAAAAAAAAGCGGGCAGTTTTGCATGAATATATTCAAGATCTGGCAGACATAGAAAAAGCTGTCATTATGGCAACTAGGTGCATCATTAATGCATAAAAGCAGTTTGATTGGAACAATCTATTTTTAGAGCTGCAGACATTTCTCATGCACAGTCTGCAGTCTGGAACAGTTTTTTTTCTCTCCAGATTTAAGTTTCTTTTTTCATTCTTACTCATTCCTAGTAAACAAATAAAATGAAATGCCACACTTTTCCATTTTTCTTTACGAGCTTGTAGGAAGCCTGCATGATCACATAAATACTGTTTTTCTTTATGGTTTTTCATGATATGCCCTCTCATCCTGTTTTGGGCCCGTGATAGGATGCTTTTAAGCATTTTAGCTTATTCGCAGTCCGGAACACTCATATATCTGTTCCCTTGCAAGCCAAAAGGTTTCAGTGTGCAGCAGCTTTTGATTGCAGATAAGAAAGCTTTTCATTAAAACTCTTGTGAAACTGTTGATTGTAAGCAACAATATAGGATTCATGTTTCCTCTTATGGCAGAGTTTCAAGTTACCTGTGTGGATGCGGTAATGATCTGTGTTCGCTGACACAGTTTTTCTGAAGTGTTTGTTAAACAATGCAGTGATTTCATCTTCAGAATTGTGTCAGAATCTGATGTAATGTTGAGCAAGAGCCAGAACTCCGGTCTCAATCAGTTCTCTGAATCTCTGAATAGTTCATATTCCTTGCTATTTTATGTTTCAGATATTCATCTTCATTTAGTAAATGAAACTCATTAAACATCTATCACTTAAAAATTCAATCTTCTGTGATCCACTTTTATACCCAATTAAGTTACTTACCCATTTGTTGCAGAACTTCAAATTCAACTTGAGATGTTTTACAATCTGCAGCTTCAGTTTTTTGTAAAATTTGTAGCTGGAATTGAATCTAAAATATTTTAAGCTATTTTAGAAATTATCTTTACAGTGTCACAAGTTATGTTCAAACCAACCTTGGTTATGCCTTGAAGGAAAGCCTCCATTGCCAGTTTGGCAGGGCCATCCAATGACTTGCCATCATCCTCCGGGCCCCAGCTGGCACTGTAGATGTGGATATGCTGAGGGTTAAGGCTTAGGGAATGAGCCTCCACCACATCTGTCACTTCCCCATCCAACATACGAACTCCTGTGGAAAAAAAAAAGAAAAAGAAAAACAGAAAATGTCCTGCAGGTAAGGTGATGTTTCTTAACTATGTAGACAAGGTTGTACCTTTTCTACAGTTAAGAAAAAGCATAAATTAAGTTTTATGCTAAGTCATCCATGCAAAACCCTAAGAGATACTTTGACTATGGATATTCTTTAGATGTCCACGTCCAATCTTTTGTTTTTCAAAGTTCAGTGATATTATTCATGATCAGAGTTAGACATTTTTATTGATGCATTTATTTCTTGGAGACTTGATAAATTCATCTGTCTTATCAAATTAGACAATTAGCAGGCTGCTCAAAATGCTGCGGTGATATTTTCACCTACCATCTCTCAAGTCACACTGCTTCCTGTCCAGCTATCCTGGCTACATGCATTTCAGAGTACAGTATTACAAGATCTTGGTGCTTCCTTATGAATTTCTAATTTGACAAGCATTGGCATGCATCTCAGAAGCCTTAAATCAGTATGCATCTAGCATGTCAGTGAGCAATTTGTTATGAGGGTCTGCTGGTTATGTTACATACAAGGCCGAGAACTAAAAGTGACATAGTCCAGGCAGCAATAGCCCAAGGAGTTAAGTCCTTGGGCTTAACTTCTTGGGCTTAAATGCTACAAAAATACACCATATTTCAAAATTGCTGAACTATTTATTATTTACTGATGTATCAAATTTCAAGACATTTTTGCAGCTCCTTCTTTCTGTAATAGAACAAGAGAGAACAAAACTTTCAGCAAATATCAGGAAGGTTACAACTTGCTTTGTTTCATCTTCTTAAATTTTCAACATCTGTCATAAAACTTGCCAGGAAGTTGAGGAAGTTTTTTTTTTTAAATCTCAGAAGCAAGGTAAAGATCTACATTTTCCAGGAAAAACATACAGACTGTGCTGCCCCACTAATGTTATGTATCCTAGCTGTGCTAATTGTTAATAGAAGATGGCTGAAAATGTCAACTCCATAATATTTGTATTTATTTTAAGGCATTTGTAAAACCTTGTTTTACACTAGTTACTTTCTCATAAATACAGTATGATAAATAATTCATGAATGCTCATTGGAGGAAACTAAAATTTATATTTCATTGGTCTTCATATTTTTTAATATTAGAATTTTTAAAGAGGAATATAAACTGTCAAAACAAAGCCAGTGTATGCTTTGCAAAATTTTAAATTGGACACAAAATTCTGGTCGCTGCATCTCTACCAACAACAGGAAACAAAAGAATCCAACCACTGAGGTTTTAATGATTTAGCGCACAAGGCTTTCTGAGGAATACTAACCGAATTTTATCCTCAAACAACAATCCAGCTGTTAAACCAAGGACAGCTGTTTCGTCCTACTTAAAAGAAGATACAGTAATATAGGAAGGATAAGAAGACAAATCTGACACTGCTGACAAAAGAACCACAGAGAAACAAGCCAAACCTCCAACGGACCAACTTGTCCACAGGGTAGCACTAAATGTCACTTTTCATCATACCTGAACACGTTCTGTGCCTTTGAAGTTCACAGCCTCAGATCACTCCTCAGAACATTAACAGCTGTAGAAAGCCATGAAATGCACCACCCTCAAATAAGGTCCATTACCGGCTTGGGGCTCATGGACATCAGAAGCAACATTATGAGTGACGACGTTCACATTAGAGATTTTAGATAAAGTAAGCTGGTGGAGAGGCAGACAAGGCAGTAATCACTCTACAGGGGTGTAATGTGAGTTTGAACGCTAAAGAATAAGTAAGAAACAGAAATGGGTGACATAAAGCACATTGTTTGCTTTGTAATGATTATGCAAGAGTGTTACTGCAAAGTAATGATGATTACTGTCGTAACAATTGCCATCAATATCCTGCAGCTTTACAACACCTTCTCCAGGCGCTGCTGTTCAAGTCCTCTGCAGCTACGCTGAGTCACAGGTATCAAGGAAGGGTGAAGTGAATGCGTACGTGCGTGTGTCCGTGTGTGTGTGTATGTGCAAATGTAAGGCAAATAAGGACAGAAGGAAGGAGATGCAGAGTAAGTCAAGTAGAGTCAACTGCACAGTTTTTGGCCCAAATCACTTATCATCATTATTTCTTAAGGGCACACAGACACATTTGAATACTTGGGCAAACCCAAATGCTTCTCTCACAGGTACACACCCGTACACACCATAAGTGTCTGGGAGGAAATTGTGGTTGTTCATAAACAATTCACTGACCCTGTGACGTGAACAGATTCACCGAGAAGTAATTTATGAGATCAGGGCTAATGCCTGGTTCTGTCGGGAGATGAATGGTAATGAAGACAAAGAAGGGGAGTTATGAGTAACATCTGTGAGCGGGACTGCTCAGAGCTGCACAGGCTCCACTGAGTCTTGTTGGCTGCCATTTCGGCAGTGACAGATTGCTTCATGACAAAAGTTACTAAAAGCCTCCTTGGAATACTCCATCAAGTGTAAAAATGTTCAGGAAACAAAGCAAACAAAGATAAATGTTTAATTTGTGATTGACATATCATCTCTCTTAACACAGATTGTTCCATGCTGGCAGGTTTATTGCATTTTGAATAAGCGCCTTCACTAAAAGTTTGAGCAGCTTCTGAGGCGGGTGATTTACAGCCAGATGTCCGCTGCACTGTGAATTCATTTTTCTTGACATCAGCCACAATTTAAGATACACACTGATCTGTGGGGAACTCAGCTAAACTCTTTGAAAATTGAATTAACCATTTATCTACTTAATAAAGAAAGGCATGACATTTGATCCAAAGACAAATACAGTGTTGTGGTTTTTTTTTGGTTGCCCATAAAAGTTTATAAACAATACGTATGAACAATATGTTTGACATAAATGCAATAAAATAAACAACACAAGTTTGGTGATCAACAAATACAATCAGACAGAAACTACAGCAGAAACTCATCAGGCTGAGAATTTTATTTGCAGCATCAGTGAAGTCATGATCTATTTAATCAACAAACAACTGCGGCATCTCATGATTCGCTGGGCTTCTCCATGGTAATGGTTTAAGCAATATTCATTGCATCCCACTGCCTCGCTCTGAGGTGCAGTCACACTTCAACTGCTGAAAAATACAATCACCCAGTCAGTACTCGGCTTCCTATGGCGCATAAAGTCACATTAAAGATACCAGCTATAAATGCTACCACTGTGTCGTTAATAAAACCTGAAGAGAGGGAGCTGACTGTGAAACTGTGGTTATACCTAAAGCATTAGACACCAACCAAGACATCCCTATCTCTGTGAATTAATGTAAGCCTTAGTGTGCACCTCATCTTTAATTAAATTATAGAAACCTCATTTAATGTAATAATACACTTGTTACTTATGCTGATTAAATACAGTACCCACCATGCTTATTGGCAACCATGGTGAAGGTGTGTAAAGAGGCTTAAAATATATTCCACAGTTATTGCATTGGGATAATCTCACATTGTAAAAATGTGAAGAAAATAATGTCTGTGCATTTATTCAATAAGTACAAATATATGCTTATACCAGAGTTGTATTTAATGGCTGATGTAAGCCTTAATGTAACAATTTCTAAAATTTGTTCAGCATAAATCTACCGGATTTATGCTTAATAAATATTTGGGAGGCTCGCCAGAAGAAAACATTTCATGTTCAACATTGTAAATGTAAAAGAGATTTTAAAGTTCACTCCGTCTTACTTGGTTAAATAAAGTAGTACAAATGTAAACATAAGAGGGTTGTTAAATGCAACTGAGACCTCAACTGGAGCGAGTGCTGGGCAAGAGAAAATCTTGATAATATTTTGAAAAACAGAAAATTTCAAAAACAATCATGAAAGCGGATTGTAAAATTCAGTGAGACAGATGACAGATATGGCCTGAACAGGAAGAATCTGCGGCCACCATTACTTTACAAGATGGAGAAGATGTTGCCAACAATAGTATGAACTAGATTTGTTATCATCACCTTCTGTCCTTATTTATACTTTGACAATACTGCAAAAAGAAAGTTTCAATGCTAATCCATAATATGCTGCAATTCTTAAGCTAATTCACTGTTTAGTTTAAGACAATTTAAATTAAGAATTTTTCTTACAGTCACAGAAAAAAGATCTTGAACAAAAACACCACTGACTACAGGGATAATTTGGCAACAACAGAAGACTATTAAAGGACCAGGATGGACTGTGTTGCACAGACTTTTGTCTCAGACGCTAACTGCATATTCACTGGTGACAGACGAAACAACCGCTCTGTCTTCCTAGACTGCCAAGAACAATCATAAAGAAGTCAGCACTTCTTTTTAGCACACTTTGGAAAAACTTTGTATTTTTGTCAAATTCTGCAATGGAGATTCATAATCATTACACTCTGCTATTTTGTTATGATAATGACCTCTGTTTCAACTCCAAAAATAATTGATAAAAATATAAATTTATGTCAACAGAAAAGGTGACATTCTTTCTGATTTTGACAAAGTCCTAAAAACAGGTAAAATTTCATGAGGACTGATTTAGAGAGAGAGAATCATCATGTATTTTATCATCCTTATTCCTGCTCATCTTTTACTGTTTGCATCTGTGTATTTCCATTTGCCACCTACCTGCCTGTGGATTCACTGAAATCCCCCCATGGAGGGACGAAAAGAGGTTGGTTATTTGCTGTTGCATCGATTCTTTTCTTATGAATAATAGATTTTTTTACAGTGACAAACAGTGCAGGTGGGTTTGGAGTAAAACAAAGGATAAAAACTCATGCCCACCATTAAGCACAGTGAAGGATGGGTGATGCTCCGACCATAGACGTGAATAAACAGATGCCTCATTGAATACTAGTTCCTACATTATGTTGCTGACATCTTGGTTGTGGATGTGATGGATAATTTGTCTTGTATCTGTAGCTTCAGCTTGTGTGTGTGCTGTTATTCTGCTGAAATAATAAAAAAAAGGACTTGTTTTAAAGTCTTACGTGTGACTACTGTTAAAATGAATTCCTCTCACTCACCTCCAATTTTTGCGTTAAAGGCCACACCTGTGCCACATATTCCGTTGTTGGCTATAGCTGCGACTTCGCCTGCACAACGAGTTCCATGTCTGTAAAAGGAAAAAGGAAGATTTCCATTACAAGATATGAACTAAAGGAAGACAATAAAAAAAACTCTCATATTACTGCTAGATACAGTTCACAACAAAGGATCTTTCTAAGTCCCTGAACTGTGCAAAGCCTTTCAAGAAAAGTGCAAAAAGGAAAACTTCGCTAGATTAAAGACAAACACTGACCCATCGGTTCTTTTGTAGCTGCAGAGCTTTTGTTATTTTAGCAATAACAACACAAAGAGCTTCGACTTTTATAAAGAACATCACAAGTAATTTGAAGCGTAAAGGCAGCAAGATTTTTTTTCTTTATCCAAGACAAAGAAGACAACAAGAAAGAGTCTTATTGTACTGTTGCACAGCATTAAACTTAAAACTTGCACTGAAGTTGTACTGCATGCATAATCCTCAACAAGTGCACATAGAACCATCATCATTCTTCAATCAACTTGCAACATAAGATTTCTCATTGCTTAATGAGTTGCAGAAGTGGTATGTATTATAATCTTGCTCTGCTACATTTTCAAATACTTTAGTTGCTCTAACAGCTTAAGTTTTTACAGAGTTGATCTGCATATACAAACTTTTAGTTCAGCGTGTGGTGACAAGTGAGCAGAAGAAATGGGTGAATGACACCAAAGGAGTTGTCAAAAAATGCAAAAACTGTGAATAATGGATTTTGAATTTGAGTGACATACTTTCTACGTTTCAACTTTCAAACCAACCCACAGGTTTTAAACTGTGTAGTTAAACTGTGTAGTTTAAAACCTGTGGGATGCAATTTTATTGGTGACTGGTTACTTTATGAGAGAAATCAAAATGTGAGATCTACAGTAAGTACTTGTCAAACATCACAAAGATTAAATATTTAGCAATTTTCTGTTAAACACGAGCAGTTCAGGGAGTTTGTCTTTCAATTTCTAGAAGAAAATATCGGAAATCATTTTCTCCATTATGAGGGTTTATGGAGGAATCCTTTTCCAATCAAATAGAACGTTGGGCAAACACACAAAGAGCTGTCAAAAACTACCTAGACTCTTGGCAGAAGCTGGCCACAGGCCATCCAAAATGAAATATTTATTACTGGTGAAGTTGAATTATTCACAGACCTTCATTAAATCTTTCAACCATGAGCTGTAAAGATCAGGCAGGTTTCCAGGACAGAATCCTCTAGCTGTCAGATTCGCCAACAGTTCACAAACAAAATAACAACACTGCCTTTAAAGTTTTTGCTGAAAGCTGTGATGAGTTTACGCCCTTCCATATTTTTGAGTGGGATAAAAGTGACAGTATCTGATTAAAAAGAGGGTGTCACGTCCTTTTATCAAAGATGTGCTCTGTGAATGTTGTTTGAACAAAGCTAATTACATTAGCAGTACATTTCAAGATGAGCCAAGAAAATTACCTCCATATTAGATGAGCCAAAGAACATCACCTCGCCTTTTGTTCTGCCAGCCTCCCTGATGATAAGGCAGAGGACAAAGTCTTTTCTCAGGGTCGGTGCCCAGCTACACCTCCAGCTGGAATCCTGATTAGACTGTATGGCTCGGTGATGTATAATGAACTTCTGAACTCAAAATCCTTTAACCACATAATTTACTGCTTTATTCTACCGCTTGGGTTTTGTTGAAAACCCAAGAAAAAAAATGTGTGGAAGAAGTAAAATCTTTCTGCACTATAATTTAAAATGTCATCTGAGTTGTCAATAAGCAGAAGCGTTAAAGTGACTTTAAAAACAAGCAATCAATGTGCATGACGAGGCTTATTTGCTACTGACATATATGGCCCTACTCATTGAACTCTGGACATATGACAAAGTGTAATACATCATGAATGCAATTAGAAGCTGATTATTCTCAAACAGAGGTTAAACGTTTCACTATAAGCTATTTCAAACTGCATTAATATCAGCACATGATAGAGAGTTGACATCTAAACTGAGAACAATCTTTGTTCCCATGAGCGATACATGTTAGATGGGGAAGACAGTTAACTAGAAATGAGCAAATGTTTTCAGTGAGTGAAAAAAAGAAGGTGGAGAATGTCGATTTTAGTGAAAAAGTCTCCAGAATGGGTCTTTTAAGGTCAGGGCATATCTGTGTGTATGGGAAGTGACAATCAGAGGTCTCAGAGGATACCCGCCTCTTTCCTGTTCAATCAGAGACAGAGGCATGCCTACTCACCAGATTTAGACACATGGTGGTGGGCTTGATAAATGCCTACAATCCTTACAAATAAATCTACAAAAATTGGACGTCTTAGGTGCTGTGGTGGCGCAGGGGCAAAGCACAACCCCCTTAGTCCTCGTGCCAGTGGTCGCAGGTTCGATTTCCCCCTCTCTCATAACCCTCTTTTGCCAAACTACTTTCAAATAAAGGCCACTAGAGCCAATAAAGTCTTAAAAAAAGATTTTAAAAAATGGATATGTTATATGCAAAGATGTGCATAGTGGGTGGTGAATTACGCTTTTCTACAATTTGAAATTTCTACAACTTTTTTTTCTCCATAGAAAAAGCATGAACAGAAAAACTTTGTCAGTGGTGGAGTGTATTGATAACAATATTTCTAAACAGAATTCTAATCTGCTGTCACATTTTTTCTGGCCTGTGCATATGTTATTTGCTTACTTACAATTTACATTAAAGTCAAGTCGACTTCAAATTTTCTAGGGGGATGAAGCATGTAGAATTTAAAGTTCTACTCAATAAGTAGAACATTTTTTTCATTTTTTTAAAAGGAAAAAAGAAATTCTCATTTCTCATTAACATGTGCAATACAATCATCAAAATGTAATCAACATAACATGATCCAGCCATTGTAACGTCTTTTATAGTAGATGACAACATAAAGTAATTTGGGGATTCTGCAGCATTTGTTGTATACCTGCATTTTGCTGGAGAGATATTAACTTACTGCTTCATATTCTTGTGTGTCATTGGGATCCAATGTCATCATGGGGTTAATAGATTTTGTTCTTCCCATTAAGCATGTGTGTACTAAAACCAAGCAGTGCAATACTGCTAAACATTGTTTTTTGCCTTTATGAAGAGGTACAGTTTCTATTTATACATTTGTTGTTTGAAAAAGGACAAGTGAAAACTAAGATGTTCTATGTTTATGTGCAGCATAATTGATTTATTTGCAGCTTACGAATACAAAATGAGTGTAAAAATCAGCTTCGACTTCAAATAATCTCACATTGTTTAACTATTATTTAGCAAAGGCCAGAGAGCTTTCAGTGATGGTCAAAATAAGATCTACCACGGAGTGCTTGGCTATGTCTTAAAATCCTGTGAATTAAGGACCAAATCTAAGAGACTATATTCAGTTAAGCACAAAAATATTTTCTCCATTGAGATATTCAGATTCTTTTTTTCATTTAATGAAAAAATTGATTCTGATAGAAAATGAGGCAAACATTTCTGTTCCATTTGTTTTCTATAAAAAGCAGAGAATTATTTACATCCTTCCCAATAATCAGCACAAAAAATCTATCAGGATTACACAAATCAATCCCTTCTTATATTTACTGGTTTTTCATGTTTCCATCAATAGTTTCATGATCAATTCATGGTTCCTCTGCACTATATTGGGCCATCCCAAAATGCTGTGGGCTTAACTGTTTAACACATATTTTCTCCATTGCCAAATATTTTTAGCAAGTGCTAATAAAACATTGCAGGAATGACCTCCATGCCTCTATACACTTCTCATAAGGTCTACCAATAAAAGCACAGTTATTGGTCATTGGGGAGTTGAGTTATTTGCCTGCCGGGAGGAGGCAGAGTTGATATTCACACGTTGTTGAGCCATTAACCAGATCCAAGAATGAAAGAACCAAAACAGACATTCAAAGTATGTAAACTGGTGCAATAAAACATTGATTTTTGGGTGTCAAGTTTGACAAGGAGCTGATAAATACTATGGATTTGATAAAAAAAAAAGGAGCAGCAGGCTGTATTTCCTCAGTTGTAAGAAGGAACCATCTCTCTAGGAAGCTGTCGAGGGCATTCTATCATAGCTCTATTGAAAGTGTGCTCACATACTGTGACACCTCTCAGAAAATTATTGGCTGTTCTGTTCCCACCTTGGAAACATTTTAGATATACTACTATCTTTCTGAAGCAGAAAACGCACTTAAAGATCAGACACACTGATTTTAAGAAGCACTTAAAAATATATTTTTAATCCAAAGAGAAGAACAAAAAAATTGAATGTTCCTGCACATTACCCCAGACTACAGATGTAGTCCAGCAAGGGTGACGGATTGCTCATATTAAAACCTTTTCTCATCAGGGGGTACAACACTGTGATCACAAAGGACTGCTCACAAGTATTTTGTTTTAAGTCTATGCATTTTTTATTATTAATGGTAAATTCAACCTTGTTACCTGGTATTCAGCATATTTTTGATCAAGCCCATATTTCTGTGTAAAAATATATATTGATGATGATTGAGCGATCTAAGCTGCTTAAATGAATCAAATTTTCAATAATATTCTAATTTATTAAATACAACTGCATATTTTATTAGTTGGATCGACTTCAATGAGACAAAAAAATTGTTTATTCTTAGTGTCTGAGGTATGAAAGCTTACTGAGAACTCTGGACATTTTATTTCATTACCACTGAATAATGGTAATGAAAGAAAAGAGCCAGAAAAATGTGGGCTAATTATAAAAGATAATATCATTCCAATTTTCAGCAATAGCACAGCAATTATGAATATTCTTGATGGTCATGCAGTCACAGACTTCATCCCGATACACACACAGTAAAAAAAAACTGTGAATCATAGATACTTCATTTACTAGATTTGACTTGATGTTTTACTAAAAATTGCTTCTTCATGTTGATAAAATATATTCTTAGGTGCACCAGAGTACGTCACAGTTACAGGAGCTTAAAATGCTCTAAGATTAAATATCTCCATATTCATTGTTTTATCCACAACGCCACAAAAAAGGCTTTGTGCTTCAGCCAGCACATATCGTCAGAC